ACCTTACTCTATGTACAGTTGGGGAATCTGGCGGTGTTATATAACAGCTACAATATAAACGTTTGAACATTGTGAAACGAGACGAACGGACGGAAACAAGCTTGCAGCTTAAAAATGTGTCTGTATGAAAAATCGGTTAATACACGACTAATTTCTTTTTGTTATTATCAATTCTTTTGCAACTTAATCTTTATCTACTAATTAGTTATTTGTAGGAAGAGGCGAAATTTGACTTGTTGCAATGGACAAGGCACTCATGAAGTTACACCCGGATTTCCGCGACAGTACAGTTGGGGAATCTGTCGGTGTGATGAAATTTATTATTTGAAAATTTGTACGCGTTTAGACGTCGACGTGGAATACTAATCTATAGTTAGTGTTAGCTTGAACAACAGATTGCTACCCATTTGGTGTGAGAAGAGGTGGAGTTATGCTTTGTTGCAAGGTACAATCGCGAAAATCCGCGGTGTTCCACGTAAAGAAAAATTGCCTTGTTCCTTGCTACGAAACAAACTCCGTCTCTTCTTACGAATAACCAATTATATAGCAGTAAGTGGCACAAACGACGGGATGATATGGAAAAAAAATTGCCATGTATCATTAGTTAACCGACATATATCCGTATAGACACATTTAAAAGCTGCGTTGTATTGGTTTTTCATCCATGTCCAAGAACTGTATAAACTATTCTGTTCAAACTTCGACGAATGTTTGACAAGGCATTTTTTGAAAAAATGCCACCAGAACATGTCAAAAGGTGAACACCTCAAGGGACCCCGACTGTACTTAAACTGTAAGTAAAATAAAATAAATATGTCGTTTGCCATTTTATAATACCTACCTCTAGGCCTAGAATCAACTTGGACCATGCGTATTTCGGTCTTCATAGCGGTGCAGTGCGGCCAGCCGGCGGGCTGCGCGGCCGCCGCGCGCTCCTCGGACTGGCTCTCCACGTGGGTCAGCGTATTCGTGGGATGGTAACTGAGACCCAAAGTCGCGGTCGCGTGCTCTTGGAACATCGCGAACACGTTATCTTCTCGGACTTTGATTTTCTATTAAAAGAGACTGTAGTTGATTTTCTTTTGTCCCACTGACATTGTCATCCTTCACATTCCCTTTTTAAAAAAGAGAGACGACAATAGTCAATGCATGTAATAGTTGCCGAGTGCCATTGTGACGTCATACATTGCTAAATGAAAAACATGAGGGCAAATTTCGAAACAGCTATTATCCAGTTTTCACTGCCGAAACATTATAAAATGTCTTCTTTGTTAGAGACAATGAAAGACAACAACATATTCCTATAAAAGTTTCGCAAGTCGAACCACCACTACATGATCTCTACGTGTTAACTCACAATAAGGGGACCGAGTTCAATCTCTCTGGAGCCCCCAATATCAGGTGTGGGTCCTGGTGTCGACTCCTGCGGTCCACCCTTCCTTTTCTTCGGTTTCAGATGCTTCAAGAGGCTTCTGCGCACATGATAACCTCTGTAAGCCGCCTGCAAATGACCACAGACTATAAACTATAATCGGTTATAAAACATGTTGAACACAGATCAAAACCAAATAACATTAAGGCTAAATCCCATAGAAAAAAGGATCTATATTTTAAGACAGTAAATAAAAATCTATATAATCTAATATTTAATTGATGGATGTTTGATAACAAGTATCTCTAGAATGGCTGAACGGATTAGAACATAGTGTTGAAATACCCATAGGAGGAACTCCAAGGGCCTGTCCCACCAAATTGTAAATTGATGGAAATATCGGATTTTGTTACTCTATCTGACAGTTACGTAATTTTTAAGCTATCTGAACCTCTATCAGCCAGTGCTGGGACAGGCTCTTAGTCCTTTAACTATTCGCGGGAGAGTTATAGAGAAAAGTATACATATTTATATACAAAAACAATACCTGTATCCTTTCCGAGGCCCTGTGTAGTTCGTGTAACGTCGGCTTGGTCTTCTTGTAGAGTGCGAGGGTCCGTTCCGCCGCCACCTGCCACGGCTCGTCCCCGTGCATCGACGTGCTCTGTGCAAACATTATGCATGCACCATAACATGATACATGGACGACATCCCTCTAGTTCTTTCCCATATTAATAAGAACCATAAGTATTTTACTACATTGCTATCCGATGTTACTCCGATAAAGGAAAACATTGTAATGCAGCCTGTACATATCGGCGAAGAAATTCAAAGTTATGTGTAAAGTGTGAAGTCAACCCGCAGTGCAGCATGGTCACCCCTAACTAAGGATAGGCTCCCCTCCTCAGTGGGGTAGTACAGTGAGCTGGAGACGATGAAATTTTTCAAAAATCTAGTTAAATGAAAGCAAACCATTTGAATTCATTATTATAAAAGAACAAACATGTAACAGGCAATTCATGGAACAATAAACCGTTATCTAGCCTTTCTTATAAATATCTCCAGAGCGGACGTGATATCAAGAATGCTGAGCTCTTATTTAAAGCTTGCTATAAACAAATGCTGTTGATAAAAACTTCTAAGAATATACAGAACGATAAGACTTTAAGCAATGGACCAGTATAATTTGATCTGTTAATAAAATGTAGATGACCATGTTTATTAAAGTTTACTGAGACACATGATAGAATAAAATTGGTTGCCAAGAGTAAATCCTACTACTAGCAACTCACTTTTGATTTTTTTTTACTGCGAACGGAGTCGCGGGCGTAAGCTAGAAGGTAATAATTACGATTTTTTTCAAATGTCCGATGTCACAGATTAAAGTACAATCGACAAATCTGTCGGTGCTTCATCTTATAAGCTAGAATAGTTCAAACGTTTTGTACGCTTTACGCATTAAGACGACGCGGAACAAGGAATAATAACCTATAACCTTTACATGTATAAGATAGAAGGTCGGTTAGTACACGATTTGTTGAATTTTTTTATTATTCCATCGTTTTGTACTCAGTCATTTGCTAGATGGCGTGGAGTTTGTATTATTGTAAAAGACAAGGCAATTTTTCTGTCATTGATACACTGCGGATTTCCGCGACTGTACTTTTGCTTTACTTATTTTATTTGTTCCTTAGATAGTTCTAATAGTAAAAAAAACTTACATGTTCCATTAATTTCTTCTTGTAGACATAGTCTTTGTATGCGTTTCTCACTATCTGGCAGACATTAGCCGCCATTTCTTCGTCCAGCGGTACTGTTGCCAACATTTTCTTTAATATATCCGATTCTTTGATGTTCTCTGTAAATTGTTTTTTTTTTTATATTAATGTTGCAAAGAAGACATATTTGTATTTTTGTATGTATTGAAATAACCCAAAAAGTAACTACTCTATCGATTTCTCGCACCATTAAAAAGCTACGTTATCAGTGTGTGTTATAGGCCATATTCCTTCATTTCACCCGAACGAAGTCGCGAGCAACAGCTAGTATTCTATTGTCTAAATAAATTGTCTTTAGAAGCATCTTTTTCGTGTTTATAAGGTTTATTATAGATATTTCTAAAGCAAGGTATATATTGTAATAACAGTTACACCGCTAACGATGTCAACTGTACCTTTGTCGTCACTTGTCTCGACGTTTTCAATCTCATCTTTTATGATCTGTGCGAAAGTTTCCGCTACAGTCCGGTCTAGACCGAGCTCGAGCAAGTGCTGGGAGACCGAGGGCCGGCAGTCGCACAACTCCTCGAGTATCTTAACCGCCATCACGCCGTGTTCGCGCGTGATCAGCAGAACTGATAGATAGTTGCTGATGAATTCGTTGATGTTCTTAGGTTGTGCGCGTAGAACCTGATATTTGATAAGATTTTAGTGACATAGTAGGAATTAAAAAAAAAGTAGCCTATGTATTCTTCCAGACTATCCACTACATCTATGCCAAATTTCATCGAGATCTATTCAGCCGTTTGAGCTACAAACTCTAACAAACATCCATCCATCTAAACTTTCGCATTTATAATATTAGTAACTTTTATCTACTGATAATTCCGTGACTGTAGTGGACACTATTAGTAGGTAAGTGTGTTAGAAAACTTTTAGAGTTACTTTGGTAACACTTTACAATAGATAATTTCCTATCGTTTACAGTAAATTGTATAAAAATCTGTCATGATTCGGTAAAGTTTTACACAAAATTATACGTCATTATACCATACAATTACATACAAAGAATTCACGAAATCCCCAACATATTAGATCATACAATAACTTCCATTTACTTGACCACACAACAAAGGACAGTAAATGTTTATTTATACTTCTCTTGAAATATCCGCCATAAGTTCCTTAAGCCCTTCAGGTATCGTGAATACGTTAGCACAGCCATGCTTTTGCAGTAATTCGTTCATTTTCCCATTCAAGAATAACCTTTTCAACGCTAATATTTAAAAATCGTCACATGATTTGACATTGTGCAGCAAATAATTATTTACAAAAGAGGTTTCAAACATTTCCTATAATTTTACCTAAAATGTTTGAAATAATTATTTTTGTAATTATTTATTACAACGAATTCATTACGAATAACGATATAATTAAATTAAAAAAAAACATTAATATTTGAAAATAATGGCGCCTGCAGAATGTATTAGCAAAGTTAAGTTATTGCTACTTTGCTATTATTTATAACTCCATTGTTATTAAATAAACGCGTGCTCTTGCTTCTAATCGTTTCTTTAAACAAAAGAAATAGATTATAGTTTAAACGTACAGTAGCTGATACATTTTACTCTATCCTCAACTAATTATGTTTGCCAGTAACAGTCTATTGTTTCAGTAATTCGATCCTGTCTACGTGAAGGATTACTAAATCCTTAAAAAAACAAACATGCGGTTTGCGACACGCAATTTATCCAATAGATCAATAATAGAAAAAAACAATAGTGTTTTGATCAATCTATTTTCAAATCCTAAAAAGAAATAATAAAAACTGTAATAACGGTCAATAGATGGTGATGTTAGTGTTAATTGTTCGTAATTCTTAAATATTGAAAGCATACCGTAGATTAAATTTTTACTGTCTTTAAAAGATTTTCGGTGTTTAGTAGTTATGTTATTTTATATTATATTTTATATTATATTATATATTTAATCAATTAGCGGAAATGAAACAATCAACCGACTTTATCATAAGACATTCAAAAGTTATCTTTTTGTATACTTCTTTGTTTGATAAAACACTTTAATGGTAATGTTTATCATACCTTTTTTAGCGCAAAAGTCATAGGTCAAACGTTCGAATCCCAGCAATCGTGTTCTGTTTAAAAAAATGTATCAGGATCACCCTCATAAGAACAAATTAATATTGTAATTAAACACTATGGTTAATATAAAAGAAGCATAGACAAATTCAAATTAATTTATTTGCCGTCCATTACTTCAAATTCAACCCTGGTGCCTATTATTAAATGGGCAATTTGTGTAGCAATGTTAGTGGAATTTCCGCAACTTTTGGGGGAAATTTAAAAACAGTCACAATTTTATTGTATGAAAATCTGAGAAAAAGCGTGAATAAAACAAATTACGAAAAGTAAACGTACATAATAATTCGTTACTTTATATTGTATCGCTATCTACATTGTTTTTTTCTTTTCAGTACCTAAAAACTTCCTTGGTTTGTATTTTACAGTTAAACATTTACAAGTTATTTTTA